TATATATATATATATATATATATATATATATATATATATATATATATATATATATATATATATATATATATATATATATATATATATCCAAAAAAAGCATGTATAATGGAATGTTTTAATTGAATAAAATTTGCAATAGAAAAAGTGAACTAAAATTAATTATCACTTCTTCCACAAAATTATCTTCACAAAACGTAGGTTCATTTTTTTTTCTGTTATTTCTGATTAATTGAAATTAATACTTCTAAATAAATATTTTCCTGAAATTTATACTTAATATTTATGAAAATAAGCGAAAATTGCTAAAACAATGAAATTATATGACATTAAAATAATTGTCATTTCATTCAATGCAAGTTATATCTGAAATAATATTAGAATTGAAATATATTTGACTCTTTTAAACAAAATTATTTTTGTAAAAATAACTTAAAATTGAAATTATCTTTAGAAAAAAAAGTCAAATATAAGTCATTCATAAATTTATGATAACGATGTTACTATTTGCAAAAATGAAGCGTAGAACCTTTGTAATTTGTAATTTTAATTTGAAATTAATTACTATTTATGTTATTTTAGGCATAATCTAATTAATTACTTCTAAATTTTGGTATAAAATGTAATATATGATTTGTTTAGTAATAATAACCATATTATTATTGCTTTTACTGTTAAATTATTGAGCAATTAATTAACCATTGAAATAATTAAAAATCATTAAAACTAACTTATTAAAAAAAACAAAATTTTTAAATTAATCGAAATATTTAATTCAATACAAATATGCATTTACAATAAACTTTTCACATATTTATGATATTAATTATGTTTGATAAATGATAAGAACAGTGATTTTATCACATTCTTTTCTTTTTTTTCCATTTCCAATAAATCATTCAATAATTTCAATGCAAATATGCATTTACAATAAATTTTCTACATATTTACTTATGATATTAATTATGTTTGATAAATGATAAGAACAGTGATTTTATCATTTTTCACTTTTTTTTTTGCACGAAAATTTTTCTTGTTTTAAATCTATTTCTTTCATAGCTTTAAACAGTTAAATTTAAAAAAAGAATTTATGGAATCAATTGAAATGATCAATCTTTCTCTTTTACATCTTTTGATTATTTCATTTTTCTAATCATCTCTGTCTGATATTTCCATTATAATCTCATTCATCTTCATACTAATACAATAGTTCTCTTAACTTTTTGAATAATGAAATAGCTTTCTTAATTTCATTAATAAATTAATATCAATTTTCTAAATAGATGAAAAAATCAATATTAATTTATATTTTATATTTCAAAGCACCTGATAAAATGTTACTGGAATGGAAATTACGCATATTCAATTATTGATTGTAATTTAGAGAGACAATTTGTGACATCATTAAATGTGACAAATTAGTGAATATTATATATATCATGAGATATTACTTTGATTGGAAATGATTAGTTATTCAATGTGAAATAATTTTTTTCATGTTAATTTGTCAAAATTTCAAATCTCATAGAGTGATATGAACTAATAATGATATGATCCAACTGCTAATTAAGCTGTTGTTAATGGGTTAAATTCTTCTTGGTTAATTAATGAGTTACTGGATTTTTTTAGCTTCTGAAAAGTTATCAAAATATACCCAACTATTTCAACCCCAATTTGCTATCAAGCTTTTTTCCGCATCTATCAATTTTTAATCAAATTTCTCTGAATATTTTTTTTTTTAATTTGTAAAATAATGAGTAAAATAATTTATTTTGATAATTAGCACGACTTCCGTGCAATTAATTGTTCAATTATTCAAATAAACGGAATTCATTTATTAATTAAATTAGCATTATTCGATAAATAAGCTAACGAAACATTGTTGAGAAGCTTAAATACAAAAATGAATCACATTCATAGTTGAATTTCATGAAGTATAAAAATTAAATCATAAACAATTATCTACAGTACAGCTAGTCATTTGCTTCATAGCTAAGTTTAGACAAAAATGATGATAGTTACAAAAAGGATACCGATAAAAATTTGTATTGGAAATTACCTTATCATGAATTATCACTTTGATTATTTTATGGTTCTTAGATATGCGGGAAATTAAATAAATTACAATAAGAGTTACGAAGGAGAAATTACCATAATTCACCATTACTTTCCTTTTACCGTTTAAAATTTACTTTTTTAATCCATATTAAAATAAATTTTAATTAATAAAAAGGCTAGACAAAGTGCTAAAGGTGATGAATTATTAAAATTAAAATTTATTTAAATTTATTTTGCTGACGAGAATTAATTATTTCATAGGATAATGAGGTTGTAAGATGCAAAAATATTAATCATCCATGAACATATTACTGTATAAAACATTCGGAGAGTTGTAATATTTGTTCATTAAAATATATTCATTTAATTTCATAAAACATAGTATTGAAGCAATAAAAATCAATAAAAAATTGATGAAGATTTTCGTTCAAAAAAATAAAACTTTTGAAATGAAATAATTTCAAAAACAAAAAAAAAAAAAAGAGAGGAAATATATTAAATGAAGGAAATAATTTTTAATATAATTAGAAAATAATTTTTTTTTTTAAATAATTTTTTAATTAGAAAATAATTTTTTTTCTAAAGAAATAATTTTCACTTCATATCTTTGTTCTTTTCTTTTCTTTCTTTTTTTTTAACATATAATCCTTTTAGTAAATATTTCATATACTATTTTATTACACAATAGCATCTTTATTGCATTGTTTTATTTTCCGGATGTATGAAAAAAAAAAAGGAATTCTGGATTGCTAAAGAAAATAATGAATGTAAAAATAAATCAATAATAATCAACATAAAATAATTAGATACAAATTAATTAATTAATTAATTAATCAGAAAATAATCAATATATTTGTTATTTTATTAGCATATAATTTAACTAAAGATATTTTGTTAAAAAAATTTAACATGTCAAATTTATTCGATCATTATTATTATTATTATTATTATTATTATTTTTTCGTTTTTTTCATCATCAACTAATTGCAACCTTTTCAATGTTACTTTTTGTTTTTTTTTTAAATTAAATTATTTACAAAGACAAATAAGTATTATTGGTGACAAATGCTTATATTCATGACAAATATCATTTAAATAAATATTACGAATAGTACAATTGTCGAAAAGACATTAAGTCAGTTGTTTGTTGAAATGATTAGAGGAAAATGTCAATCTCTTCAAATTGTAATGTTAAAATTTACTGCAATGATTCATATTTTTTGGGAGTGAAATTTTTTCTTTTTTTTTTTTTACTAAAGGTTT